ATTTTACATTTAACTGAGAACTCCTTGCTGAAATAGCTTAATTCCCTAAAGGTGGTAGAAAGAGATACAGCATACTATTCTGTTTGACTACCCTGAATACTAGAAAGTTCACATAATGCATGTCTTGCTAGAAGAAAAAAACTTAATAAAGCTCAAACCAATTTAATCATTTGTGGAATTTATTACTCTACACTAATTTTTGCAGAAACTTGGAAAAAATTAATAAAAATACACTATAGTTACATACCTTAAATTGTATAAATAAATGTGAATTGAATTATATTTGATCTATACAACTTTTGCAGAATTCCATACAGCAATGTAGCAAACACGTCATTTCCATCGGCACAGTAAATATGGAGTGTTTGTGAAGCTGAAATCCACAGTATAGGAGAATATGTCCTAAGATTGCATTCAGTTACCTAAAGAAGGGAGGCTAGAAGTAGAGTTCTTTTCATACAATTAAGATCCAAAATTCTTGATACCCCATTTGCTGGGTCACTGCTGTAACCAGTATGCTGTTCTGAGTATTCAAAATGAGATATGCCAGTGTCAATGTACATAACTATTTGTTAGGAGAAAAGAATGAACAAAAAGATGTCCTAGTGCATTGCTATTTTATTCTGTCTTTGAACTGGACCAAATATTACACCTGACCTCAGAGAGCTTATCCACCACACAGTGTTTCAGGGTCTTCTATCAGCTAACATAGCATTCCTCTAACTTTTTTTTTCTAAAAAATTGGCCTTAACTTACTTTTGTGAGGGGACCAGTTTTGCATGTATGTGAGATACATTTTCAGAATGCTTAACAGAACAAGTTCCTCAGCAAACATAGGCAAAGCAACATCTTGTTTCCAGATCTCAATCTAGTTTTKGCAGAAGCTAGGCACAAACTTGCTCAGACTGGGCAGAAGTCTAGACACCCTTTTACTAGCATTTCCACTTTTGAACTGGCTACACCAATGCATTTCCAAACCAAGGAATCAATGCAGCAAGACCATCAGAAACACAGGATTGGATGTAGGTAACAATGTTATATACTTTGTGTATAAATTCTCAGATACAGCCACTATACTCATCATAATTTAAATGCTTTTAAAAAACGTTAAACATAATCATATTCAAATAAAAGTGTGATAGTTGCTTTATGAATGTGTAGATATGTTTGCATGGTGTGTGATTGTTCATTACACTGATGGCCTTATTTCCATAATATGAAGGAACTGCTTCAGATGAGTGGAATAATTTCCTCCTTCCTTTGTCACACGCCAGAAGTTTTTGCACAAAAGGGTGCTGGTTTACATCATAGGACTTGCCTGATCATGAACTTCTTTAGCAAAACAAAACAAATGAAAAACACATACCAGTACTAATTATCTTTACTAGTTATTCTTCCTCCTCAGAAGAGTCCCACGATTTTAGGCACTGTATGTAATGCAACYAAAGGAGATGATACGGAGTTATTTATTAGTAATAACCACCACTGAAGGACTTCTCCATTTCCTCCCTACAGGTTTGAACAGGTTCTCCGGCAAACTTGTACTATGATGGTGATGGTAACGATACGCTTTAACAAGATTTGTAAGGAAAATTATATATTTGCAGGGAAGAAAGAAGCAGGCTTTCAGGTAGACAAACACAAAACTGCTCAGACCACAGGAAAGACTCTTTTGTCTGCAGTCATGGAGACATTTAAATGACTGATTCCTTTCCCAGAGAGTTAGGTGCTTAAATCATATTCCATTTGCATGGAATGTGTACCACAATGCCCCCTCAAAATGACAGAAAAATTATCTGTTATATAAATTCATTAATAGGTAGAAAGTTTGTTATCTTTTCCATTAGTTTAATATTGTCAATTAAAGGTTTCCTGGGGAGGAAAAAAAAAAAAAGGCAAGAAATGTGAGGAAAGTTAATAATTTAGGACTCAAAGAAATATTTAACTATCTGTGTGGTTGTATGTGCTGAAGTTTGGCAAATGTACACACATGAAAGGCAGCAAAGAATAACCAAATTGACACCTGGAACTCTTTAGACCCCTGAAAATTTTGAGCTTGCAAAAGAATATAAGTACACTGAATGTTTTTTGCAGCTGAAACGGAAGAGTAAGTTCTCACTAAAATCATGACTGGAGAAAACTATTTAAACTACTGTTCTTCAGTAGTTTTTTCTTAAGTAAAATCTTTTTTAGAAAGGCATTTACTGTCTTTTGAAAGAATCATCTGTGACATCTGATACTTTAAAGGGAAAATGAAAATAGGGCTAGCCCTTGGTGTAAGAACCTGTAGGTAAAGGAAAGGAAACATAAAGGGTTTAAGACAAAGGAACCTGGTTGTAGGCACATAACACATGAAAAATCTGAGAACTATGGATTTTTGAGAGTAAAGAAAAGGTCAGGATTATTCAAAAAGTACCTGTGACCTAAAGTTCACATTTTAAGTTAAAATAAGAGCAAAAATGAAAGAAAAAAAAAAAAGGAGTACAGGGCTACAGGCTTGCCTATGAATTGTGTCCAAGAATTGTGGTCAAGAAATTATGTTTCATATCTACTGTTGCAACCCAGTGGCCAGCACTACTTCCATTTGCAATTTAGGAAGTTAGCAGTTTTGATTCTCAAACCCATTGTATGTAGAAAGAACGATACTTCCTTTTCCTGAAGTATTGTGGATAATAATCAGTATCTGCAAGATAAATTCTAAGTAGGTTATACAAAGGTGGCGAAGCGCACTAATAATATGTTGACATTCTAAATATAAACATTRCAATTATATTGCTACAACCAGGACTAGCAAATGCCTTGGATACAAAGGAAGGAAGCAAACTTTAATCTTAAGGAAAGACAGTGCATCAAATGGAGATAATCCTGTGCTTAGGAACCTTGCTAAATCACAGCTCTTTTGAATGAGTGCTGTCATACAGGCCACCAACTGCTGAAGCATGACAATAGGAGTCTTTTAAAGTTTTAAGGTCCTGAATGAAAGTAATTCAAACATTAAGTAAAATTTGTAGCATAGATTGGAATATCAGTTGACAGTAACCAACACCTACGTAAAGTACTTTATGTCCTTTTAAATATTTGAGCTGTGAATGATTTCTTAGTTTTTACTGAAAAGAAAAGGTTTCAGGAAGATTATATAACAATTTTCTTGGGTAGACTGAAATTAAAGTATCCTTTTGAAAATAATTATCACAATCAAATTATAGCTTTTTTCTGAATTTGCAATTATTTGACTGAAAAAAGGTTACACTTTAATACATACTGAGATTTCTTCAATGTTTTAATGTTTATTTTTCAAACTCCAATCTTAAACAAAATTTTCAGTTACTGTTAAGAGTTTYATTGGATTGCTTATCTTTTGACCAAAAAGGAATTAAATTTACAGTTTGCCAGAACATTAAATTTGCAATTTAAGGAATCTTTAAAATACTTCATTCAAGGCCTGAATTGTAAATCTGGTATACAATGTGCAAAACATAGTCACAGAATGGGAGGAGATTGGAAAGGACAACAGTGGGGTCATCTGGTTCAACTTCCCTGCCCAAGCAGGGTCATCCCACAGCACACTGCACAGAATGGCATCCACATATTTTAGTATCTCCAGTGAGGGAGACTCCACAACCTCTCTGGGAAATCTGTTCTAGTGCTCAGTCAACCTCACAGGAAAGAAGCATGAAAGGAAATTAAGTAAAGTAGTAAAGCAAAACAGAAGTGCCAAACTTGCATTCCAAAGAGTTCACAAATGGAATTTGAAATTTTGGAGCAAAAGTGATGTCATCCTCCTTGACTGGTGACTTTTTACAAGCTGACAGGAAGCAGAGATGACTTAATGATTTTCTGAATTAGTCATAACCCTTCATGTCAACAAGCAAAAAGATAAAAATGCATATTACATCCCCTGAGTATTAACACTATAAATTGCACTCTAAGGATGTCTTAAAATTCAGGATAAATGTACATAAATTCGTAATTCTTGTATAGAACTTATATGTACTCATTTTCTATATACACAAAGTTATTGCTCATTATTATTGAGCCTACTCCACACAGAACTAACAGGCCTTATATTTTCATGATGTCACATTCAATAAAAAGGAGATGCCAAATGCCACGCTTGATTGTGACTGGATTTACACATCAGCTTTGCAGATATTCTGCTCACTGGAGCATAGGGTAGGAGCTGTGAATAGTAAAACTGGGCCAGACCAAGGCATAGAAAAAAATCAGGATTTCCTTCCCAGTTTTGACGCGTACGCTTCACAGTGACTTGGTTCGCACACCAATTTGCCCTGTCTTCCAGCATAATCGTCAACAGCTTCTTGGCTGCTCTGGAAGGAGCTATATTCGGTATTCCACTGCTGCTGCATGAGGTGGGTGCCTCCTCGGCTCGGCCGAGCGCAGCCCAGCACTCCAGCCAGCCATCCCCATCCACCCGAACACCCTGCAGGCTGGAGCGGGGGATGCGGACGGGCTGCGGCCGGTGCGGGACCCGCTTGGAAACGGGGAGTAAAATAAGGCGTGCAAACCCTTCGGGACGTGCGGGAGGGAGCTACGCGAACACGCGCTCCCACACATGGGGAACGGCCGGCTCTTCGCAGGCTGTTACTGTGCAGCCGAGGGTGACCCGGCTGCCGCTTCGCAGGGACCCAAAGCTCATTTTTAACTTTCTGTCGAGAGCGCACCGGACCGTCCCAGGCGTCCCTGCAGCAATGAGCGAGCGCGGGGCAGGCGCGGCAGCCGCCGGCGMTCCCCTCCACCCCCTTCCCGCCGCGCTGCCCCTCGGGCGGGACGCAGGGGTGGGGAAGGACGGGCAGAGGGCACCGGGACTGCCACACGGTCCCGGACCGTGCCCGCGGCAGGGCGCGAGGGCCGTGCTCCCACCGTGCTCCCGCCGTGGGGCCGGGCCGCACCGCCCCCGGCCCCTCCCCGCCCCGCCAGCCCTCAGCGGGACGGTGCCGCAGCGGCAGCGGCAAACCCCGCCCACCGCCCCGCGTGTGGCGCGCTGGGCGCACCCTCGCCATTGTCTGCGCGGCGGTCCTTGCCTGCTGCGGGCACCGGCGGGCGGCGCGGCGGCTGTGGCCGCGATGCTGAAGGGCTGCGCGCCCCCTCAGAGGCGGCAGCGGGCTCCCGCCCTGGGGAGCAGCCACCCCGCCTGCTGAAGACTGAAACTTTGCGTCCCCGCCGCTCCCTCGCCTCCCCCTTCCTCTCTCCCTTCTCCATGCGCTGAGCGGCCGCGGGGCGCCCGCTCGGCCCCATGGACGCTTTCTGCGCTGCCAAAGCCAAAATGGGGGCSAAGAGCGGCGGCGAGGCGGCGGCGGCGGCGGGAGTGGCCGCGCCTCAGCCCGCCGTGCCGGCCCCCAGCCCTGCCGGACCCGGCTCGCCCGCCGCGCTGGAGTCCGCTGCCTACAAGCTGGAGGATCTGGAGACCCTGGCCACCGTGGGTGAGTGCGGGAAGGAGGGGAACAAAGGAGCTGCCGGGGTGCCTGCCCTGCGACCGTGCCCGGCGGGAGGAGATCCCCTTCCCCAGCGCCCTTTTTTGTGGGTTTTCTTTTTTTTTTTTTTTTTTTTTTTTTCTCCGCCCCTACCCGCTGCGCTCCCCCCTCCCCGCTCCGCTCCCGTCTCTCCCGCCGCGCCACCGCTGGCCGCTGTGAGGGCAGCTGGGGTTGCCCGCGGTGGCTGGAGGTGGCTGTGGGCGGCTGAGGAGGACGCGCCGCAGCCGCCGCRCGGTTCGGGAGCCTGATGGCATTGTCTGTCCCCAGTGCTGCCGGTGTCACCGGCTCCGGGATCTGCAGCAGAGCGAGCCTGGACCCAGACCCGGGTTTGGCTTGTCTGTGAGATGGGTACTGCCATTGCTGAAGCTGAAAGACCTCTTGGTGTAAAACCTGGTTTATCTGGTTTAACTTCATTTACCTGCATCCTGATAAAAAATTCATCATTTAAATTAGTTGTCGAGCCAGGGAAGAGATCAAACAGGTTAGCCGAATACAGCTGAGCGTATGGCAAACCCCCAGCATGCTGTTGCCCTGAATATTGATGCAAAGATGCTTTGCGTGTGTAGAATTTTGGTAGRAGGTAAGGTTTCATCTCACGAATACCGCACTTGATGAAACTGCTTGTAGTGAGCGGCATTGCAGAGTAAATGCATGTGCTTAATAAAAARACATTTCAGACATCAGTGATGATGTTTATTGTATTCATGTCCACTGTATCTGTGCATTGCTTTTGAACATACATATTTATAGTTACACGTTTTCGTACCTGGTTTGAGAACTTGTATGTCCAGCTATATGGAAGTTTTAGTCACTTTTCCATTATAGGACTGTGAAATTATTTTGAGTAGATTTATTCCAGTAAATAATGTAAATAAATCCCAATTTCCCCTGAGCTCTCTTCAGCCRAAAAGGTGTGATATAACCCCTTTCTTAGTGAAGTTGATGGCTTTAAACATGAAGTTGGAAAGGCCCAAGAGTGTTGTTATCAGTGAAGAACATATTATCTTCTCTTAAAGTGTGTTGTGTTTTGAGATAATGTTCCAATTTGAAATGTAGGCAGACATTTTACTGATAAATTGAGATYATTAAGAGACTTCTTGAAAGGTTTGTGATGGTTGTTTTCCCTCCAGAAATGGTTGAACTTCTTCATTATATCATTACCATGTGGATACAATAGTCGTAACTGAGGATTAAGACTTCAAGTGAAACACAGATGCAAAAAATAGTAATTTTTAAAGAAGATGTAGTAGTCATGGATATATTCCTGAGGCAAATGAGGACATGTGAAAATAATYCTGGTGTCAACTTTAAACAGTATGCCTTTTCTAGGGTATTCTTTAAGATGTTCTTTAGAGATTAAGGRAAGCGAAAATTGTGATTGTGCAAGATTTAAAGATAGACATAAAAAAGTGAGCTGCCTGTTATGAAGATACAAACAAGGAAATAAAAGGTAAAAGGAGCAGATAGCTGCCTATCAAGGTGATGAAAGAATACTTAGTCTTTCTTCATTCTCATCTTCCCCAGCTTGATTTTTTTTTTCTTTTTTTTTCTCAAATAGCTCTGTCTGAAAGGATGACCATTCTTTGCATTTCTTTTGAACTATGTCATTGGTCATTTTATAGGGAGAATAAAGATAAAATGCAAGACTGGAAAGATATAGAACTGTGCACACATATATGCGTAAGGCCTTACCTTGTCAAAGAAACTGAGCTGGCTTACTGTAAGTAGATGGAAAAATGAATTTATGACATGCCTATGTGCTTCAGTAGAAGYCTGTGAGAAGGACAGGGTCTTGCTCCTGACCAGGAAGCAGATATTGCAGCCTCAAAGTGATACTGAAACTGAACATGTGAATACCTGCACAGAGTGGCCGARTTTATGAAAGATGCAGTGCCCTGCTAATGTCGCTAGTGTATCTGGGATCTGAGTCAGTAAGTCTGCATGAGGTTGGGCTGCTCTGTGTGCACCTACTAACATGCTGCATGGGAGTCCTGATTTAAATAGGCTACAAGTTAAAGCAGTGCAAAATACTGCACGATAATAGAGAAGATGTGTAGTTTAACTTGAAAAACTTTTGCTTGGCTTAAACCTTTTTTAATTCATTTAGTTAAATACTCTGTAGGTTTATATTAAATGTACTGAAAGACTATATCTGCAGTACTTTTTAGCAGTGCTTTAAGTCAGTATTACCTTATCCTCCATTTTGATCTYCCTGCACAAATAGATGGGATCAATGTCATCGGTTTCACTACAGCAATTTAGAGTTGTCTGCAGTTTGACTGCTCTGATAAGGATAACCATTTTCTTTCTGCTGATGTTCTTGAARGTTGTGTGTGCTGTCTGAGATAATTGGAGATGTTTGGGGATGGGAGGAGGAATACCCAAAAATTACATAACAGGAAGTTCTGGTATCTCCTTTACTAGAATCAGGCTTAGAAATTGTTACAGCCTTGGAAACTATCAACTTAAGATAGTGTCAGAATAGGGAGGTGATTTCCATGCTCTTGTAGCTGTTTATGAATAATAGTTAAGGYAACCAATTTGTGTTGGTATCTGTGCGATTGTAGTCATCCATGACTTTATGCAACTTCTCTTGTAGGGTGAAATAAAATCYGTGCAAAAAAAAGAAAGTTGAACTCATTACCTACTTTGAATATAGTAACTGCTGTTTAAGTATCCTTCCTTGTCTCAGAGGATTAAAATGTCTGTGTTAACCCGACCAGCATGATGCAGTCTGGATTGCATGTGTTTTCTGTGATTTCTGTTGGGATGCTGTGCGTGGCTTAGCAAAGAGCTCAGTGTGAAGGCGGGAAGAGCAAAAGGGAAGTATTGTTTAGCATAATGATTCAGAGGACATTTATCTGCCCCACACATCCCAGGACTAAGCCTTTGGTTGGGAGTTTGTGGGCCCTTTGTTTTAAGGCAGCTGGAACAGTCTGGAGTACAGGTTTGCTTTGGAGGGGAGTGCCCAGTTGATAAAGTGAAGTTACGGCTTTAGGGAAGGCATAGGACTGGGATGCATACTAGTTTCTGGCACTAAGAGAAGTTAAACAGGAAAATTATTTCTTTAAGTGTACTTTCTGAGGAGTTGAMGATGTGGATTTGAACCTTTGAAGTGTATGTTTTTTTAACTAGTCTTCTTGTATGAAAGTTGAACATTCTTGCTCTGGAGCTGTTGAAGGTGCCTGGTTGTCCTCATCCTGTTTTGAATTAGTTTTCCTTTCAAAGGAGGTTGAAATACAAATGTTTGCTCAGCAGACTCAGAAACTGCTGTTCAGGCCAGGCTGAAATACTCTTCGAATCTCGGTGAATTTACATACTCASCTGTGCCAATACTGAGTTAGTTCTGTGCTGTACAGAAGAAAAAAATTATATGCCTTGGCCACCATGTTCATTGAAAGCTCATGGCCCACCCATGCTTATCTGAACCTATTTCAAACTTTTTGTAGGTCTGGTCAGTGAAAGAGGGAAACTGTGAACACTAGTTGTATAGTTTCTGTATCATCCTTGGTTTTGATGAGCATTTAATATGGGCKACTTTCCTGTTCCAGAAGCCAGAGTGCCTGCAGTCGGACACCTGACACGTATCCTGAAATGGAGATACTAAATTTTTAATTATGCCATAATGAAAAAGTAATTCAGGTATAGAATAAGTAGTTGAGGAAAACCAGGAGGTACTTCTTCACTTGTGGGTAGGTGAAAGTGGGAGAAATGTTACATTCCCAATTGAAATGCATGGTAATAGGAAAGCGAGAACGAAGAGAACACCAGGAGGAGTAAGAGAAGAATTTTTTTCTTACCCTCTCTCCTGTGAGATCTATTTCTTGTCCATTTTTCGAAGTGCAAAGAATTCCAAAGCAGGCTTTGTAAATGTAAATTTGGGGTTGTGAATCTATTCAATTGATTGAAATATTTAAATAAGAGGATTTTAATGCAAAAAGATTCTTTTAAACTACTGTTCCCATGTAGTGCTTTACACTAAACAAATACAGAATGAGAAATTGTGCATACCAATATTTTCACTTATATGAGCATGGGAAAATTTTAAAAAAAGTTCATGGGAAAAATGAGGTGCTACATATTTTCAAATATTTCTCTGTGTTCACACATGAAACATGTTAGCCAAATATATTTCAAATGGCATTGTATCAGCTGGACASTAAGTACACAGCTTCAGTCTAATGCCAGAGGAAGGATCCTGTATAGGACATTRAAGTACTATTTTTCCAGAGTATTGTTTAAGTAAGAAATTTTGCCCCAGAGTAGCCAAGTTCTTTACATGAAAAGAATGCTGGTGGCTTTTTCCTTTTTTTTTAGAGGATTAAATTAGTTCAGTTTCTTACCAAGTGTTCTTTCTGGKTTTACTACCAAGGTTGTCACCTATTTTAAATATTCTAAGGAATGTATGAGCATTTTTTCCCTGTTTTGTCACTTCTCTTGATAYTGAGATAATAAATAATAATCCATGATTTTACTTGGCAGTGTTCTTAAATACYACAAGTTTTTAAAGAAAACATGGTCTGAATGTTGTGACTGTAATGGTGACCTGAATTCACCATTACGCCTGTACATCTTTGAGGCTTTAGTCATAAAGCTAAATGACTTGGAGTTTGTTTTCACTCTGTATTTCTTACTTCATTTTTCCCTCCCACAAAATGACACTTGTCCCAAAATAAATCATTATTATTATGGCTGGTGTTGTAGAGAGAAAATGACCAGGCGTGACTCAGCTTTCTTCTCTTGCTTTTCCTGTTATCCACTGCTGAGGCGAATTTCAAAACCATAATGTTTATTGTGGATCAGGCAGCAACAGGTCCTTTGYGGTTAGTTTCTTGTTCTCATTAGCCTGGAAAAAATGGATTGAAACAAATATTCTGTTTTATCTTTCAGAGAGGTCAGAAAAGTGAGAGTGTATGGAAGAAGTTTGAACATGTGAAAATTGAAAGTTC